AAATTCAAAAAATACTAAAATATCTCTATTTTCTTTTTGTTATGTTAAAGAAAGTTTAACCTTTGAAAAATTAATGTACATTACCATATTAATAAGGATGGTAATCCTATGATATCCCTAGAGATGAAGGAAAATCATCTGTCAAAAATAAATACTCAATCATCATATCAACTTTAAGCAAATTAGAAATAAGAGAAAGCTTCCTCAATTTCATAAAAGCCATGTCACAAAAACCTATAGCTAACATCATTTTTATTCTTGAAAGACTGAATGCTTTCTCCCTAAGATTTAGAATGACAACTCTATATTATATTGAAGGAGTGAGCTAGTGCAATTAGGTAGGTAAAAAGGAAAGAAGATTGGAAAGACAGAAGTAAAACTGTCTTCATTTGCAGACAACGTAATTGTATTTGCAGAAAATTCTAAGGAACCTACCAAAAACCTCTTAGAACTAAAGTGATCAAAGGTCACAGGATACAATAACACAGAGAGATTAAGTAACTTGACCATGGTTATGATTACAGTTAGTACCTGGAAGAACCAGGATTCAAGTCAAGGCAATCTGGTCCTGGAGACTTCCTCTTACAACAACATACTTACATGGTAACTTAAAAATCAAGTTGCTTCACCCCAGTACTGATATGCACAATAGCCAAGATATGGCATCAACCAAAGTGTCCATTAGAAGATGAATGGATAAAGAAAATTGGTACATTTACCCAACGAAATATTATTCAGCCTAAAAAACAATGCTATTCTGTTATTCATGACAAAACAGATGGAATTGGAGGTCATCATGTTAAGTGAAATAGGCCAGGAACAGAAAGACAAATACCACATGTTCTCCCTCATATGTAGGAAACTAAAACATATGATCTCAAATAAGAGAGTAAAATAGTGATTATTAGATGGTAAGAAGAATGGGATGAGGAAGGATAAAGAAACGTTGAATAATGGGTGGCAAAATACAGTCAGGAGGAGTAAGTTTGTGTTCTACAGCACAGTCAGATAACTGTAATTTACAACAAACTATTACATATTTTATTTAGAACTAGAAGAGAAAGCTTCTCTTCTCTTTGAAGGCTCCAAACACAAAGAAATGCTAAACATATAAAACAACAAAATGCTAATTATCTGATTTGACCCTTGCACATTGTATACATGTACTGAATTATCAGACTGTAGCCCATAAATATGTACAATTATGTTCCAACAAAATAAAAAAAATCTAAACTGAAAAAAATCAAGACACATATATGCCATAGGGGTGAACAGTTTTCCTCTGCCATGCCATTCTGCATGCTGTTTCGACTTTGGAGCCAGGTGACCTGGGACTGAGTCTACCTCTCCCCACTTAAGTTGCAGGTGTTAGGTATTTTGTCCTAGCCATGGGAAAGTGACTATTACATATGCTAACATCAAACATCATTTTTCCTTCTCTATTCAATGATCATTAGCATCACCCTAAATTTTGGTGAGTAAAGATAAAAAACAAGATGTGAGTCCAGAATCCTCATTCTGCTTAGAAAAAGCATGGCCACTAACTGTCTAATATGGAAACATCAAAGCTGTAGATGTAATTCTTATACTATAGGCTAGCACATATCACACTGATAACGATGTGTTGGATATATGTACCCTACTTAGTCCCATCACCAATAAATGGCAAATATTCAGGTTTGGTATAACTTACCTTTAATGTTAGAAAACAAAATTTGAAAGAGTATTGATGATGCATCAGGAGCATCATTGTTCTACATGAAGGGCACATAACATGCTTTCTGATAAATTCAGAAATAGAATTAAAAACTAGTGTAGGCTTTGAAAGTAAGGTTCTAATGTCCAATTAGCCACAAACTAAAGTAAAATCTCTCAGCATGCATGTCTTCATAGGAGAAACTCAGGGTTATCATCAGAGACTTTATACATAGAATTTTAAGTAGTTATACTTAAGGTTGCCTGTACCATTAATAATAAGTAGGATAACTAGCACTGCTAAATTAACAAGCATTTATTGAATCCATTAACACTGAAACCTTGAAATATAGCAGCCCACCAACACTGGACATCAACTTGTAGGCCAAGAGGAGCTACAGCAGGAGCCTGAGGTAGCTTCGCCATAAGCCAAATCAAGGCGATTATAAACAAAGTACAGGTTGGGTATCCTTCCTCTGAAAATACAGAACCCAAAATGCTCATCTGAAACATTTTGAGTTCTGATATGATATATCAGCAAAAAATTCCATACCATGCAACTTGGTTTCATGCACAGAATAATTTAAAATACTGTATAAAATTAAGCTTCTGCACAGCAAAGGAAACAATCAACAGAGTGAATGGGAAAAATTTTTTTGCCAGCTATTCTTCAAACAGGACTAGTATCTAGACTGTACTAAGAACTAAGAAAAAAAATTAGACCCTCCCAAAATAAAAGATCGAATCCAAAAATGGGCAACTGAAATGAATAGGTGCTTCTCAGAAGAAGTATAAATGACCAATAAATAAATGAAAAAATGTTCAACATCTCTGGCCATTAGAGAAATGCAAATTAAAATATATGTGATTCCACATTACGCCAGAAAGAATGGCTATAATCAAGAAATCAGTTAACAACAAATGTTAGCAAGATTGGGGGCGGGGGATGGAAAGGAGCCTTTCTACATTGTTGGTGTAAATGTGAACTAGAACAACCACTACAGAAATTAGTATGAAGATTCCTCAAAAAACTAAAAACAGAAATTCTGTTCAACTCAGCTATTCCTCTTCTAGGTATTTTCCTGAAAGAGTTAAAGACATGGTGATATATGTGTAGCCATGTTTTCAGCAGCAAAATTGATAATAGCTAAATCTTGGAAGTGGCCTATATGTCCATCAACAGATGAGTGGATAAAGAAAATATGGTACTGATACATAATGGAGTGCTACACTGTCATAAAGAAGAATAAACTTGAGACATTTGTAGAAAAATGGAAGCACCTTGAGACCATAATGTTACATAAAATAAATCAGACAGACGAGCTTAAATATCACATGGTTTCTCTTATATGAGAAACCCAAAATATAAATAAAGAGCAAAATAAAAGGTAGAAAATAGGGAGATAGATCTTTTGTATATGGGAAGGGGACCAAGAGTTGGAGGGAGGGAAGAATAGGAGATGGAAAAAGAATTAAGATGTGTTATGTACATATACCAACCCCCTCCAAAGAATGTAATCATTATGCACTGCAAACATGTACTAGTAAAAAAAAAATTGAAAAAGTATTCTATAATGTGATTTTCAGGCTATGCATATAAAGTATATATGAAACATAAATAGATTTCATATATAAAGTTGGGTCCTATCCCCAAGATATATTATTATTTTTATGTAAATATTCCAAAATCCAAATTACTTCTGGTCCCAGCAACTTTGGATAAGGAATACTTAACCTGTACTAGATGTAGGACCTCATACAGAGTGGCACAGCTAGGAATCAATTACAGAAAAATTATTCTATGGTAGGAATGTCAAATGTGAAGGCTCTATGAAAATCATTAGTTTAAAATACAGAGTTAGAAACAGGGTTGCTAAAAGGCCTACCTGAATGATAGGTTAGGTATGGTGTTGGGTAAGCCTCTTTCAGTTAAACTGGCCTATGTATAGATAATAATGTGAGGTCCTCACTACTTTATTATTGTTTTGATTTACTATATATAAATTATGAGCTTCAAATTATTTTTGTAAAGAAAGAAACTATGATCATCCATCAAAATTCTGCCTTTTATAGCCCAAAATACATGGATACAAGATGAACGTTCCAATGTTGTGTTTGTGGTCTATTTATACCTGAATTATGGTGCTACTGAGGGTAATGCTGCCTGGCATTGTAAAAGATGGTAAAGTGTAGTAGAAAAACTTGAACTTGTCCTTAGTACCTCTAGATCTCAGCTTTCATTAAATACTCAAGATGTGCACCTAAAAACTGAATTCACAAGGCTGTTAATGTTGAGATACTTGACATATTTAAGATGCTAAACAAAAGAGCCTGCATTCTCTCTCTCTCTCTCTCTCTCTCTCTCTCTCTCTCTCTCTCTCTCAACCCCACATACACAAAAGGTTAATAGTTGAGGTTGATTTATTGCTCCATATAACTTAGCCCAAGGCTAGATTGTCTGGATTCAGGTTCTGGTCTCATTGCTTACTAGCTGTATGACTCCAGCCTCTAGCCAAGTTACCTAACTTCTCTATCCTTCAAACTTCCCAGCTGTAAATGGAGATAATAATAGAACTCCCCTCATATAGTTGTTATGAAGATTAAATGACTAAATACAATTCAAATGCTTATACCAGAGCCAGGCAGATGGTAAACCCTACATACATGTTTGCTGAAATTATTACCCCTGTTGTGTTAATTGATATCTCATAATATTTACCCTCAAAATAAACTAAGCAGTACAAGTGATTATCCTCACTGTATTAGATTTCTGCCTCTGCTACCATAACAAATTACTATAAATTTAGTAGCTTAAAACAATAGAAATTTATTCTCTCACAGTTCTGGAAACCAGAAATTCACTATTAGTTTTTCTGGGCCAAAATCAAAGATGTTACCAGGGTTGGACTCCATCTGGAGGGTCTAGGGAAGAAACTGTTCTTGATTCTTACAGCATTCCCTGTAGCCACATCACTCCAGTCTTGGCTGTATGGTTACACTGCCTCCTCCTCATCTGTGTTTTCCTCTGCTGCCCTCTTCCCAAGACATTTGTGATTGGCCAACCTAGATATCCAGGACAATCTCCCCATGTCAAGATTCTTAACTTAATTACATCCGAAAACACCCTTTTGGCATCTAAGGTAATATTTGCAGGTACCAGGAATTGGTATCTTATATATATGGGTGATCATTATTCAGTCTACTAACTCATCACTGAGGTAGATTGATTTAGTGTGGAAATCACAACATAAACATTTGTTTTTAAAAGATATTTAGCTCTGTCTGCAATAGACCTATTAATACACAGCAACCATATTCCAAGGCACAATTCATTCACCAGGAAGTAGGTCCCCAAACTGTGAGCACAGAGTCCACAATTAATTATAAGACTATAATGGTAACATGTAAAGTCAAATCTATAAAATTAAGACAGTCATCACAAACTTTGGGGGAGGGGGAACATTCTTGGAAATACAGTGGGCCTTCTTGTGATTCAAATAAAGTAGCTTCTTAAGACCACTAGTAGGAATCAAGGAACTTGAAAAAGATGAGATTTGAGATGACAGTTATGACTAATGTATCTTACAGAGTTTATGTAAATAAATTCTCATATAATACCCTAGCTGGATAATTACTGTATATAAGTGCTCAATAAATTGTACTCACAATTATTATGTAATAAATACTAGCACCTCCTATGTAACTTAATCCTCCGTTTAAGTAGAAATATCATCTAATCTTCAACTTCTTCATTTTCCAGAGTAGGGGAGTTACCCCTTTGAGTGCTGTTATGTCATGAAGGAAAGGAATTACACAGAAAAAGTGATACTCTGGGATGTATATCCATCCTTGGGGAAGTAAGAAAAGAAGAATTAAGAAAGGACTTTGTAAGCTAGCAAAGGACAGGAAGTAGTGCCTGAAGAGTTCAATGTGTGACTAAGAGGGCTAACATACAGTACTTGAGGTTTAGAGGAAGCAAAAAGAAAAAAATAAGAATTTAAGTAGCAAGAGTCTCAAAAAGGTGTTGCAATAGATTCATTCTCTATAGGAATTTATTAAATGATCAGGACCTTGCACTTTGGAGAGATTATGGCTGAGAGGTAGAAGTTATAACAGGGGCTGTATAATCAGGAAGAATAGAGGCAAGGGTCAACACAAACCAGCTCACTTTCACATCCCTGAACACAATAAGCACTGGGACTGAGACAAAGCAGAGGGAAAGCTGAAAGCTGAAAACTCAAGGAAGTATGTGTTTATGAAAACTAAAACACTGCAGCAACTCTAAGACAGGGATTATGTGTTGTTTTTCTCAGTATTTCCAACAGTTAGCCCAGTACCCGGTATGTCATCCACAAATCAGGGTTGACTGAATAGTCCTGTTCAACAGCAAAAATACTGGCAGTGAGAAGTCAAATTAAGAGGTTCCTTTCTAACTGCATGGTTCTGTCTGCAGTCCCACTCTTGTCCAAACCATCCTCCGCATTGCTGATGTATTCTTCCTGAATGGCAAATCTGATCATGTTACTCTTGAAGTGCTTTAAACTCCTCGGCCTCCGGCATATACTGTAAATCTCTGAGCCCAACAGACAAAGCCTTTTGTGATTTGACGCCTTGTTGCTGTGGCTATCTTACTCGAGCTATGTTGTGGTCCTGCTAGGCTGATGAAGTTCCCCACATATGTCCTCTCTCACCCAGATGCCCCCACTTGTGCACACACTGCTCCTTGTCTGCCTGAGGAGCCCCTCATTATCTTTCAGTCATCATCTCAAATATAATTTTCTCCAGAAAAATTTCCCAACATTTCTAAGCAAATTCAGTGATCTCTCCTCTAAGTTTTCAAAAGTGTTTGTTCATGCTCCTATTATGGCACTAATTACATCATTAATGTTTCCATGACACCTTTTTGATACCTCACATTGGACTGTATTCATTTTTACAACCCCAGCCAATTGAATGGGATAAGGAAGTTTTTTAAAAATGCTTGTTAAGGAAATGAATAGATTATAAGGCCAAAAAATAGAGCTAAAGCTTAATACTCAGGTGCACAAGACACAAGAAGATGCTCAAAGTCAGTGAGAAATTGGTAAGACTACCCCTGTAATTAGAAGATTTTGTCATGGTTGACAGCTCCAATACTACCCTCCAACTGTCCTCTGCTATCATGATCAGGGACAGGATTTGGGGCTGGGTATACCACAGGCTTGACCCAAGATGATATTCCCTGTCTTACATTATTCCAAACCACTTCTCACATTCACTTTACCTTTGAGAAACCAATTTCATTTTTATGTGCTTTAAGGACTTTTGTGAAGTAACTTTTCTTTCAAAATGTTCCAAAAGCCAAGCTCTTCTTTCTTACTTTAATTCTCATTTCTTTCTTGCTTGCTTAGTTGAATGGAAAACTTCAGTCCTAACTAAGGATGAGAATAATGAGCCCAAACTTACTAAATATTCATGGGGAAGTTATTATATCTCTTATGTCTCAACTTTCTCTTCCTTCAGATAGATTCAACTCTGCTATCTTGGTGGTCATAAGAAAGAATAAAAGGTAAAATTTTCATGGTATTTACTATATACCTCATAGATATTACCCCACCTAATTCTGTAATTATTTAAGGTGAGAGTTATGATTATCTCTATCATGTACAAGATGGGAGCACAGAGTAAAAGGTGAAAAGGAATGAATGTTACAATTAAAGGGTGGCAGAGGCAAGTCTGGAACACAAGCATTCTGGCACAAGTGTCCCTGCTCCAACCCTTACTTCCTCTTTCTCCTTGCAGGCCAGTGAACAATACCCTGTACCAAACAAAACCCTAGCATATTAAAGTATAATGGGGCTTTGAGTTATATTTCTTTTCAGGTAAATACAATCCTTATCCATAACTGAACACAAAAGTGGGAAGAAAAGGAAAGAAGATCATAAATGGTAGACTTCAGACATGGAACAGTATTCTGTATTTCAATCCAAATACATTTTACAGCCAAGACTGAACCATCCATCATTTATAACTAAACAAGGAGGATCTCTTATATTTTAGTCATTGAGGAGATATGTGTTTTCTGCTGATACCAAAACTACAATAAAGATGACACTGTCACCGAATGAACATCCACTGTTGGATATGGCTCTTCTCAGGAGCAACAACCAAAGTGTAGAAACATGGAACAATACACACTTGTGTTAAGTTTTTTTTCTACAGAAACAAAATTGTATTTTTTGAAAAAAGCATTAAATATTTAATTAAGCTCATGTCATTCTCTACTCAAAATTTAGAGAAAAATTTAAGGAACATTCATTGGGTATAACTCATTATCTTCAAATGGTTATCAACCTCTAATGATTACATTCCCTTTTGAGCAATGATCATTTAGAAAGTGATGAATAAATAATTATTAAATAAGGTAATATTGCCTCAGAGATGGAGTCATAGAAACTCTGTGTTTCCAGATGGTTCCTTAAAAGGAATAGGTGCCTTAGGACAGTCATCATTTGCCCTGGGGAACTTTCTCCTCAAGTCTCTTGAAAAGTCTCCAATCTCATTTGTCTATACCCATGGTTCCTACATCTTCTTCTCATATCAGAAAGAACAGAGAAAGATCATGTTACATTACTTCTTCAGGCCTGCGTAAATTCCTGAGAAGTTCTTTCTTCTGTCAGGAAAAGTTGTCCTGGCAACCACATTTACACACTCACTCAATTCCTTCCCCTTCTTTGATTCACTGCTTGATATAAAAATTATCACTGCACTGAATTGCTGCAACTTACAAGTTGATCAGTCTAACACAAAGTTTTAGACTCTAGTCTCTGCCTCAAACCTCCTTCTTAAAGAGTCTGTTCATTTTCTTTAGAAATCTGAATGTTACAATTTTTAGTTCTAATATTTTAAAACACATTTGATATGTAGTCTGCATGTCTCAGGTTACAGGTAGGGAAAAGAGTATTCTCCCAAGGGGATCTGGCCAATATTAGTTAAGAAGATAAGAATAAAGAGGTACCTTAGTTCTGAGTAAACAAGTAAGCTATGACAAAGCCCTGAAAGAAAAGAGTTAAGGACCAAGACAAAAAGTCTGGGTTACAAAAGTCTAGGCCTAAAGTTCTGGGTGTTCAGAGATCAGCACTCAGATAACAGAAATGGGATATGAGTTATCCAGAATGGGTTTTCATTAATTTGTTCACCAAATATTTATTAAGCAGCTACTAGTGCTTGATGTTGGAAACAGAGTGGTGAACAAGCCAGACACAGACCCTGTCTTCATAAAGTCAAATAGTTGAATAGTGAACCAATGTTGACTTTGACACTATGTGATTTCCTATGAGGGATAGAACTGGATTTAAGTAGGCTGGTACAGGGATTTACAGGTTAATTTGAGGTCAAGATGTCTTCCTCAGAGTAGGTGAATCAAGCAGTTTGACACAAACAGTGGTTTCTTTATATTTTTACCTTTAATCACAATGACACATGTATAGATGGGGAAATGATGAAGAGTATATTTTATCATAAGCCACAACGCTGGATACTTCCAGTATATCTGAGCTTTCTAAAAAATAGAGTAAAAGAACATAAAAGTTAGGAGCTATTCTTAAGCTCATTCAATAACCATTTATTGAGCATCTATTATGTTCAGGGAATAGTTTTAGGAATTGAAGCTATACATATGAAAAAGACAGCATCCCTAGAAATTACAGCAATGTGGTTCAGTGTTATAATAATACAGTAAAGTACAAAGGAAGATCAGAGAGGAAGGGTAGTAATTTATAAAAAGCAAGCTGGGAAATGCTTCTGAGAGGTAATGCTTGCACTGTCTTAAAAGATAAATAAACTGATTGTTTTAAGCTGGCAAATGTTGAGTGATTTGGTATGCAGCAACAGATTACTATTATCACCGGATGGAGACTATATACCATGGTACAAACAGAAGACTATGGAGAATACCTAGCTGTCTAAATAAACTTTGCTTCATGACATATGCTGAAAGTGTCAATATTTTTAATCTCACATAGTCTTAGATTTACTTTGTCCATGTTGGAAGTAGAAAATAAGAAAAAAATCCACTCAGAATGGGAAGGAGATAGGTAATGGGAGGAAGCAACACAATCTCGGTCGTGTCTGATTTCCTTCACAAGGGAATCCTCCACAAGGTTTGTTGGCAGGGGACTTGGTCAAGTGGCTAGTTAGTGTCCTGTTGGTCAGTATATGGTTAAATCATTAGCCAGGGTGTTTAGGAATGGGAGGAGCAAAAGGGTAAGTAAAAATTGTTTTTGAGAGAGAGAGAGAGAGAGAGGAAGCAATAACCATGAAAGCCAGAAAAATTTAATTTTTTTGTCAGTTCTAAGTAGTGATGTAAAGCCAAAAAGGAGAGCAAATTAAGTTTTCTGCCTTTTATGATCCATGTGGGTAGATAAAGGAATAGATCAAGCAACAAAGGCAACAGCAGAACATTCATATTCCAGACAACTGTGATAAACTGGGCCCTATGATTCAAAGCTGCTTGGGTAGCACATAGTTTGGGGGTGGAAGGGTGGCACTGGCCTGGTTGAAAAGCACCAGATCAGAGCAGACAAGTTGTAGAATACTATACTAAATAAAGTTATAACACTATAACTTTCAATTTCTGATTCAAAAAGTTGAAAAATAGTCTCCCTAGTTTCCTTAGAGCAAATGGGTACATCTGACTACAAAAGGAAGACATGAATTCGTGTTTTATTTACATTAGTAGTAAAACAGCATCAGAACTGTAACTCTATCCAATAACACTCTTGAAATATGACAGATGTTTCCAGAAGTCATTTTGAGTAAATAATTCCTTCCTTCTTTATTCTCTTATACTGCCTGGGTATCTACTTAAAATTTAAAATATCTCCCTCTTGCCCTTCATATCACCAGACCCAAGGGGTCCAAAATCAGAGGAACATAGGAAAATAATGACAGCAAGGACTCTGGGCCACCTGACCAAAATAAAGGTTATGCACGAAATGCTTTTCCAGCTTTAGGAAGTAGCAATACTTTCAGGCAGAACTGGTTACACAGTCTGTGGGGTCCACTACAAAAATGAAAATGCAGGACTTCTTGTTTAAAAATTATGAAGACTTCACGACAGCAACAATAGAATATTAAGCTAAGCAGGGGGCCTTTCTGTGCAGGTTGCCTGCCCATGAAGCTGGCCCTGGTGTCAGAGACAGTACACATAGTCCTAAAGAAGAGCTTTAGAGTCAGAGCTGGATCTAAATCCCATCTCTGCCATTCATTAACTATGTGACCCTGGGCTTAGGCAATTTATTTCACACCTTTGTGTTTCCAAGTTATATAGTTAGACTCTAGTATAATGAGGACTAAGTGGAATAATGAATAGGATATATACAAAGTGATTAGCATAATGCCTAGTGCATAGCAAATATTCAATAAATGGTAACTATACTATACAGGTAGTTCTTAAAGTGTTAAGTTTAAGAAATGAATTGCTGAATTGCTATAGAGAATAATATTTTAGAACAAAATAATGGAGCATGTAAGGGAGACTAAATCTTTTTGACTGCTGCATTTTCAAACCACTTTCCTATTTCTTTTCTTCCTTTCATTGTCAAACATACAAAGGGTGATCTGCATATTGTCTCCATTTCTTAGCTATATTTCATTCTACAATCCTCTTTTATCTGGCTTTTAATATCTCCACGTGCCCTCCTTCATTGAAGCAATCACTTCCTAAAAGTTGCCACTGACTTCCTGTTTACTAAATATAATGGACATTTCCTGAGTTTTCTGTAGAATCTCAAACTGCTGACCAATTTCTCTAGCTTGAACCTGTTTCCTCTCTTGATGTCAGTGACCCTGGACTCTTGTGGTTAACAGCATGTTTAACAGGCCAGGCATCCATCAAGGACACCATAAATGGTGGTGAATAGGATGCTTATGTTAGATAAATAAATTAGTTCTTTTATTTCTCTGATATTTCTTGTTTTCTGTCATGGTAATTCCCTTTCTTCTCCCTATCTCCTCAAACATGGCTAAACTCTAAGCTTTGGTCTTTGAGCCTCTTATACTTTTATTTCTATGCTGCTACCACTGGTAAACTTAGCTAACCATAAGGCTTCAGTGCTTAACTTCTCTGTATAAGACTCTTTGACTCCCCTCTTTTAGTATATGTGCTGCCGAAGCGAGCACTTGACTCCCCTCTTTTAAACACTAGCCCCTTTTTCTCCCTACTAAAGTCTATTCTCCATGTTTCTGTTGAAAATCTTCACAACCCCATACTTCCTTAACCAAAACTCTTCATTTTCTATCATCTACAGGATGATAATCACAACTTCTTGTTTGGCATTCAATGCCTGCTATAATCTGATTTCAGGCAACTCTTCCAATTTTACAACTTCTCTACTTAAACCTGATCTTGCTGGACAGGTCAACCTCATCAGTTGGCACCTGAAACTTTCTTCTATATTCTGGCCTTCTGTTTCATGAACGTGATTTTTCCTATCTGAAATTCCTGCCATCTTCTTTACAAGAGAATTTAACATGGCTCTGAAAAATCCTCTCTTGGTAGTCATAGTCCATGATGATCACTTTTTTTCTCAACTCCTAGAATACCACATATTTAGCACCTCAAAAATGTGCTGAATTAGTGCTCTACCTTTGTGATTTCATTTAGTCCTCACAACTATATGAGGTAGGTAGATTATAGATGAAGAAACTGAGGTCAAATAACTTGTCCCAAATCATGTAGCAAGTGACTTATGGAACTGGAATCTAAATTCTTGTTAAGTGAGAGTAACCTCCATAGGATACCACCTTTTTCATTTTCCCGTCTCCTTCAAAGCACAAATCCAGCACAGTATTTGCACACAAGCAGATGTTCAGTAAATATGTTGATTGAGAAGATTGCTTAACTAACAGCCATGATTTTCTAGTACTCAGACTTGTCAATCTTAGCTGAGCATGTTAGGCACCTGTGTCACCTTTTTACATGGCTTAATCTGTAATGTAGTTTGAAAGAAAAGATTGGCTAAAACCCACAGTTCATTCTAAAAATAAACTTCGGTGTAAGTAAAGCTAAAATGCCTTTATCTGGTTTAAACATTAGGTGATTTTAGGGGTTGAAGTTTACTTTACTACTTCTGGGCCTATCTTTGTTCTGCTTCTAACAATCAGGAAACAAAAATAGGCTGGCTAGTTGATGGCTTATGAGGTCATATGGACTATTTATAGTTCTGGGGATAGATACTAAGGCAGCAGAACAGGATTTTCTCTCCTCCGGCAAGACCTCAGTAAAAGAAACCATATAAAGTTAATCATAGGTGGAAATTCAGATCAAGAGAAGAGGATACTAATAAGGAAGGGAAGAACAAAAAGGAGGTGGCACTGGAAGCTGTCTAGGAGATGGAATGTTCTTTCTCTGCATAGTCGCTTGAAGCTGTCAGATTCACCGCTGTTTTAACAGCTGTCCCCATGTAACATGGGTTCTATCACAGTGGAATGATTCACGGTCTGTGTTGGACTGCTTGCTGTGACCCACAGCACAGTCCAATCCTCTCTTAATCCAGATCCCTCTAGCATCATATCTTACTAATTACTAATTTCTCTAGGTCTCACAGATATGACATCCAGCGTTATTCCATGACCAGCATTTTCTTTTGTACGGTTTAGATTTGCCCTCCTAGGATGCTGCCCCCAGTGCCGAACATTACGCTCAGTTTTTAGGTCCTATACCTTGGAGCTACTGTAAATTGCCCTTTTTTTTAACCTCTACTTGTTGGGCTCTTTCTTGGAAAGACGTGAATGAGGTCCACAGAAACTGATGGGAGGATAGGGGAGAGAAAAAAATAAGAAGAAAAATACCCCTGGAAAATTGTGATGAATGAGAAGTTCTGGATAACTTTGGGAAAGTTACTTTATGGAGAAAGGAAAAATGCCACAGTTGCAATATTAAACCATTCCCCAGAGACACCATTTTAAGTGGCTGGATTCATTGTTTTCACGGCTTCGGTTTTCCTTCCAGTCCTTTCCATTGTCTTTGCAAGGCAAGCTCCTATTTTCATCCCTCAACGCTTTGCTTAAATGTGTTTTCCCCTTATCTTCTACAGCTAATTGTTCCCTCTTCTGTTTCCACTACTTTGCATCTCCAAGACAGAGCAGAGTGTCTGGCACACATCAAGTATTTATTGTTGTGTGATAAAAGACATCAAGAGCTACACGGAAGTGCAATTTGCACTTCATTTGCAAAAATCAGTTTGGTTCCTGGTACTTTTTTTGTGTAACCACATTTTCGCTTGATTTTGAGGAAACAACTTTAGACTCATAAACGAAGCTCTATTGATATCACTGGCACGGTAGTTGATTTTTCAACCCCACAGGTGATAGAAACATTACCCCCTCCACACTAAAACTCTCAGGACAAGTTTAATAGTAACAGCAGATTCCCCATCCTATCATTTCTATTGCAGTGAAAACTAAATTACACTGTGAGCCTAAAGCTGCCACCAGTCTTAGTGAATTGGGGGAGGGGGAATAATTAAAAGACGACACTTTTGCAGAAGACCTCGGAGGGGGCAGGGGAGGAAGACGAATTTAAACCTTGCCTTGTAAGAAATTTGTTAGAAACTCACGTAAAACAGCTGCTTCCTCTGTACAAGTCAGACCCGATCCAGGTGTCCAGCAGTGACCTTTTCCCATGGATGTCGGGTCATCACTCAGAAAAACAAGGGGGCCAGTGCCTTTCTCGAGCATCCCTCCTCATGCCTTGGGGCCTGCTTTCCCTTAAGGGGACTATCTTCTCCTCCTAGCACTAACCCCGTTCCCTCTGCTGGTGCCACCACGCACCAGTCTTGCCTTCTTCCCGCAGGGGGCCCCCCAGGCTCTAGTTGGAGTCCAAAGTGCCGGCTGCTGGGCTGTCAGGCCTCGGCTGAGGAGGAAGGGCCGCGCTCAGGCCCCACTGCCGGCAGGGTCTCCTAGTACTCTCCGGGACAGCGAGGGAAAGGCAGGCCTCGCGAGGCCACGGGCGGCCGAGGCAGGCCTCTGAGCGCGGCAGGGCTCCCCGGCCCCGAAAGCGCGCGAGTGCCGGGACTTCAGCTGCTTCCCCGCAGCTTCCCGCAAGCCTCGGCCCCAGAGCTCACTGCAGCCCTCAGCGCCTTTCTGGTCCCGGGCGCACTGCGGAGAGCCAGTCGTCGGCCCCGACTGCTGGGTCAGGCCGCCCGCCTGCCGGTGCCCACGGCAATGCCCTGCTTTGCGCGGCCCAGCCCGGCTGCTGCGCCGGGCCGCGGCGTGACAGCTGGGTGCCCAAAGGGTTAAGCGGGCAGCTCGGCGCCTGGAGTCCCCTGCGCGCAGACTGTCGGCCGCGAACCCGGCCCAGCGCGCACGCGCCCGCCCGTTACCTGCGGTAGCCTTCGTGCTCCTCCTCCACCTGGCCGCTCTCTCCCGGGGGCCGCCCCTCAGCCCGCCCCCTTGGCTAGGCGCCGCGCACCCTGTCGGCTACTCCGAAGCGGCCCTCGGAGGAGGGGCGTGGGTGATTAACATATATTAGCATACCAGCGCTTGTCACGTGGCTGCTCCAGCCAATGGTCACTCTGGAAAGGCGGGGATTGAGCTGAACACGCCTTAGTGCTGCTCGGGGCCTAAACCGGTGCCCATAGCAACGGCTGGGCGGGCGGGGTGGGGGGGTGAGGAGGCGTCGCTGCCCAGTGGCCTCCCGGGAATATCTGCCCTACCTGAGCTTCGCGTGGCAACACAGAGTGCTATTTCCACTCCGTGTAGGGAGAGGGTGGAATCTGGCTCAGCCAGGGACATTCAGATTCGGCACTTATGAGTACTTAACCACGGGCCTAACACTTTTCTGCAAAATGTGATTCTCTCGGGGTAACCCTCTGATGCCTGTACTGTTAACCTCACTTGACAGGAAAGCGGAGGCTCAGAGAGGTTAGGTTACTCATCCAGTCACACAACTACATACACTAAGCCGCAAAAGTGGAGCTAGATCTGAGCCCATTTCTGTTCTTCAGCCCCAGGACTCGTCTGAGTTATTTTCTCCAGTAGGGGTCCCCCAACACCTCCTCACAATTCCAGGTATACAAATAATTGAGAAAATCCTCCTATATAATATGTGTAGTGCCTTACTGTTTCCTTACCTTTGAGGTTAGTGGAACAGTTATGTCCATAATACTGATGAGGGAAAATGAGGTTTATAGAGGTGATGTGTCCTGCCTTAGATCAAAGCTATTAAAGCTGATGGTTACTATAATTTAAGTATGTTCAAATTCAATACTTTAGAAACGTTTAAATAATATCTTCTCAACACGGAAATAATGCTGTGACCATTTTACAGATTAAAACACTGAGGCCTTGGCAAATTAAGCAAATTGCCCAAGGTTACACAGCTAGTAAGTAGCAGATTTAGGGTTTGAATCCAGTTTTATCTGACTCCAAAACTAGTGTCATGGAGTCTCATAGTATCAGGCTAGTTTAATTTATTCCTGGGCGTTAGAACTCCTTCTCTAATACAACTTTCAAGATGTGACTGTGTGAGTTCTTAATCCTAATTCGAATAAATTTTAGGCTAAATATTAAAAGAGAAAAATATTTGTCACTCCATTTTTACCCCTTGTGCACTTGATAGCTCACCTAGAAGCAGAGTGGTTTAAAAGTACAAATGTCTGCATATAGACTTGTTTAGCACAGTGATAATCCAAATGTCAAGTACTATCTATGATTCACTGGACTGGACCCTTTGGCTCAAATGAAACAAACTATACAAGCATTTTACAGGGTTATCAAAGGTAATTTTGTAGTTTTGCCTTACTAGACTGACTTAATTTCTTCCTAAACTGTGAATATTTCATATTTCAGAGCACAAATATAGAGGCAGATGTGCTGCTGGTTGGCTGTGTGAATTTAGGCAAATTATAAAACATCTGTATACCTAAATTTCCTTACTTGTAAAATAGGAATGTTAATGAGAATTAAATGAATTAATGTACAAAAAGCATTTAGTATAGGCTCTGGCCCAGGGTAAACCTCCATAATTGCTGGCTGTTATCATTTCTGCTATTGTCTCAGGAGCTTTTCTCAGATCAGACAACCTGTGTACAGGCTCTCTCAAGGCTCCTTGGCTGGCTTTGGAATTCTGAATCTGCCTCCATCCTGTGGCACATTAAGCGGCCTGTTGTGCTGGTGAAGGCTTGTTATCTCTCCAAATGACATTCTCTCTTTTGGGGACCATAAATAATTCCTGGACTCAAAGGAGCTGGTTTCTCTTGCACATCTCCTAGCACCAAATTACCGGAGTGGCTCCTTGCAGAAGGAGACTTTACAAACAGTGGAGCCGTAAGTCAGGCTCCTTGAAGTACTTTTATGAGCGCCTTAATGAGGGAGATGAGCTGTCATCAGGAACTTGTCCCGTCTTTCCTGGGTACAGGAAATGAGCTCTTTGTGCTCAAAGAGTTTCCAAAGCTGAGGCCCAAAGAGTTATCAGGAAGTGGGCTGGGAATGAGAATCCATGACTCAGAGAGTCCCAGGGTTAAACAGCCCCCATCCTACCATTCAGCATAGAGGGTCAGATTACTCATGGTCTTGGCAGCAATAGCACCAAAGGGTGGCTTGTAGGTGTGTGTATGTGTGAACACTCCTGTTCCCTCAATTCCTACACTCGAATTCCCCCCTCCACAAGATACTGCGGTGTAGAACAATGGTTAAGAGTTTAAACACCAGATGTGAATCCTGTTTTTGCAACTCAGCTATCTGTGTGACATTAGAGAAGTTGCTTAACCTCTTTCCATTTCAATTTCCACATCTTCAAAATGGGACTAATAACAGTGCCTCTCTTACAAGCTTTTGTTAGGATTAAATGAGCTGCTAACACAAAGTGCTTAGAGCACCCTATGGTAATGATAGAGATGCACTAGAGATGCACTTGGTAATTGATCAAAAACATGTAAGTCCAGTACAGAGTACTGTTTATAGAGATAACTGCAGCTTTAGGTGAAGTGACCTAGACCGTCTCCCAGACACTGCTGCCCTCCAACCCTTCTGACTTGCATGTACATGCTGCCCAGGAGTAGGAAGAAAAGGTCCTTTGGAGCTCTAGTTTGTCCCCTGCACTGCTAAATTCCTTGCTGTGTGTGTGAACTTGGCCAAGTTGTTTTATGTCTCTGAACTACAGTTTTGTTATTTGTAAAGTAATCTTAACTTCCTCCTGTAGCTGTTCTGAGCATTCTATCAGATGGTGTCTGGCAGGAAGTGCTGAGGGCCTGAAATGGATAGAGGCCCTGCTTGATCTAAATCAGCCTGCTTTTTTACTGAGCTGTTTCTGGGGAACATTTTTGCTTTTCTTTCTTTTTTTTTCTAAGCACAATTTTATTTTTTAAAATTAATTTTATCAGTACATTTTAGATATACATAATGATCACATGCATCATAGGGAATTTGTACCTGTAGATGATATATCTAGATTCTTTTTTCCCCAATCCCCTCCCTTCCCTTCAACTCCTCTTCCCCTCCTTATTTGCAAAAGCTTTGTTTCCATTTTCCCCTTCTATTCTCTCTTTTTTTCTTTTCCCCTCAGAAATGAAAATAGCTAACATTTATTGAGCACTTATCCTGGCCTTCTGCTGTATACATTGTTTTATTTAATCCTCCCACTAAGCCTAAGGCCTAAGGCCTAGGGATATTAACTTGTTTAAGATCTCAGTGGGCGTCAGTGGCAGAGCCAGAATTCTAGCCAGGACTGTGATTCCCAAGACCATCTTGATACTCCATCATGTTGCATACAGACCTCCGACACCAGCATGGCTCTTAGAACTCAAGGAATATGTGGTGTTAAATTTCTTTAGCTTTCTTCCCCCATCCATCTACACACTCTCCTCTGTCACTCACCAGTGCTTTGCATAGTAAGTGCTCCATATGTATTTACTGAATGAGTGAAAATAAATACTGTGGCATCTTATAATGATAAAAACTCTTTATTTTGGGGGCTGTCCCTTGTGGGGAAAAAAGAGTTGGCAGCCCTTCTTCCCATCCCCAGAATCCTCTCCCTGCTAAATAATCATGTGGAACACTTCTTTCTTTGCTCATGGAGGAAACAGGAATCTAGGGTTCATACATGTGGAACAGACATAATAATGACTCATCTTTACTGTATAATTGGAGAGATATCAGGCCCATTGGAGCTCTCTAGGGCTCCATTAATATGCAGCAGTAGAATGATTTCCAGATACAATAATGGTCTCGGATAGGTGTATTAGTTTCCTAGGGCTGCCATGACAAAGTACAGTACCACAAAATAGATAGCTTAAAAAAAACCAAATTGATTCTTGTACAGTTCCTGAGGCCAGAAGTCAGACATCATGGTGTCATCAGTGTTGATGCCTTCTTAGGTGCTCGTAAGGGAAGTCTGGTTTGTGCGTCTTTCCTAGTTTCTGGTGATTGCCAGCATTCTGTGGCATTCTTTTGTGGTTGCATCAGTTCAGTCTCTGTCTCTGTTGTCACTTTGGGTTCTCCCTATATATCCATGTCCAAATTTCCCTCTTCTTATAAGCACATTAGTCTTTGGACTAGGGTCCAATGTAATCCAGTATGACCTCACCCTAACTTGATGATATTTGCAAGACTCTATATTTCCGAATAAGGTCACATTCACAGGTACTGGGGGCTAGATTTTGAATATATATATTTTGGGTACATGAGTCAAACCACAACAATATGTTTGGGAGGAGATATAAAATGAAGAAAAGAGGATGAACAGAAAGGGGAGATCATACTGACTGTAGTGTGACCAATGGGATCAACCTTTTGCATCTTGACCAATTCCATTCTTTCTCAAAGAGGTCTGCATCTCATAGGCTTACAGTATCAGAGGTAGAAGGGACTTCTGAGATTCACTCATTCACTCCACAACATCATCAAACACTTGTGAGGAGCAAAGAATTCAGAGAGAAAGGACGTAACTGAGGAAAATGTGGTCCAGAGAGTGGATGAGAATTTTTGGGGGTCACACATCAAGTTAGAGTGTAGCCAGGAACAGAGTGGTATCCTAGACCCCAATCTTGAGCTCTTTTGATGTCTACTAGGAAGGCTACCTATCTCCCTGGGCCTGACCTTTGGTGCACAGACAGATTTAAGTTTTTAAAAACTGTGTTCTTGTGTGTTACCAACTTCCTCAATCTCCTACCAGCTGATCCAGCGTTTGAAAGACTTTGGAATCTTGGACAAAGCTAGAAACATCCCTTCTGTGTAAGTGAGACCTGGTGGCCTTTCTTCTCTTCAATCCAGCTGCCTAGTTTTAGAAACATCATCTCTAGGTACAA